CTATTTTTGCTCCTGCAATGATCTTGCAGCCATGGACATGGCCATCATGACAGAAATCTATTCACTGGTCACCACGCTTGCTCTTCAACCTCGGGTATGAGACCGTATCCTATCTCTCTCGCAGGTAGTACTGATAGTCGCGAAGGTCGAAGCTGACAGGGAGCATCAGAACCCACAACCATTTGCAGTGTGGTGCCACAGATCATCGGGCAAGATAGAGGACACGGTACTTGTACCACGCTAAGTCTGGGCACTCAGTCTTGCTTCCTAAAGGTTACATTTGATTAACTGTGAGGTAGGGCTGCTCGTTGTATTCGGTTGCATGACACCCGCAGCTGCAGAGGCCGTGGGCTTTAAACCCGCTGCGAACGATGAAGCATCGATGAATATGATCAACATGTCAACAGGTTGAACCTCGTACGCATGATGCGACTATCTATTCAAGTGAACATACAGACTGGGTGCCTGCAGACTCAGATGTCGCTCTTAGGCACCGGACCGCGCGTCGAGCCACAAGGCTTGCTGCTTGGGTAAATTTCTACCGTGATGGTTGAGCTGAGCTCGAACTCGAACCAGATGACTAAGACCAGAGAGAAGGAATACGCCACTGAGAATGCTGATGTCAATCCTTACCAGTTAGACTGCGCATGCGGGTGCTGATTCCGTTGGGCGGTGCTTGCCAATAGATATGCTTCCATGAAGGCATGTGTGCTATCAACGGCAATGTGTCAGATCTGAGAACATTGACTAATGCAACGCTGGATTCAGGCCTTATACTTCAATTGCTGGGCTTACGATGCCTCTTACTAGAGATCTGCCAGCCACTGTTTGCCATTGGTGTTGGGACCCTGACTACTTCCTGACTACTTAATCTGACATGGATGACGTACAAATTGACGTCGAGGATGATAGCATGAGTGCGCCGATTCCAGAGGAAAGTCGGAGCATGTCCAAGGCTTGTTAAGGTGAGTCTTTGCCATGACAGCTGGGCCGAGCTTCAATTAAATTCTGTATTCACAGCAGCAAAAAGGTGTGAGCCAAAAATGGATGATGCCAATTTTACCGGTGAGACTGTGCATGCAGGTGCAACACCTGGCAGCGCGTCTGCGGAAACGGTATAATCGAGACGAAGGTAGTGTGCTATAACTGTGGTCTATCACATTTGAGAATGCCAACTGATGCAATACCGGACTCAGACCTCACATATCGAGTCAATGGATGATGACCTCTCACTGCCAGTCCCATCGGAGGTGTACGATCCTCTCGATTCGAGTGAACTCAATGATATACAAGTCGGCGTGAGGTTGCTGGGGCGTAAGTGTGCGTATCCAGAGTAGCGCCGACATATGTCGAGGATCCACTGACATCAACCTTAAGCAGTTTCCAGATTACCATGACGACACAGATCGACGATCATTTATGTCTGAGTTGCATTTTCAAGGTGTGCCGGTATTCATGCCGGTATGTTGTGTAAGACATAAAGCTTGCTGTGGTCAAGGGATTGATCGTGAAGAAGAATCATGGCTCGATTGTTCGGGACTACGCCTCGCCGGCAGGGTTCTGGTCTCATATGGTGGAGAGAAAGATGATCGCAGAGGCTTTGGGCTATGGTGATGGCACATGGAAGGTAATAGTTGAAAGCTGGGGAGGATGTCGAGTCAGGAGACACTAGCAGGTTGATGCAGTAAAATGTGCTCGAATCAGTAATAGTGATATGACTGTAACAGCGAATGGCGGTGAGTTTCTGCTACGCTGTTCCTTCCCAACAATGCATGACAGTCCCGATGACGGGGCGGGACGGCGAAGCCAATGCTGTGATACCGTTGTAAATGATTGTAAATGGGATGTTCTAATGAAGGACAGACCCCGTAGACTGCTACCGCTTTGTGCCCTCTGACTGCATGGCTTGACCATCGCCGGATATAGTGATAATCGCAAAAGAGCAGTCATCTGGGCCATGCAGGTGACCAATGATGGTAACTACTAAACCGCCGCGGTAAATATCAAAGCCTGGCGCAGAAGCCGGGATGGGCCAGAAACGATCCCGCTGTAGAGCAAGGCTACAAATCTTTGTTTGATCCACTGCAATCCGAGTGGTGGTCGCGTTGTAACTGAATGTGAACAGTGGTCAATTCGCTGGCATTCAAAATGTCGTTGTGTAGTTAACGAGCGAGTCATACAAAAGCTAGCGCCAAACGACCAGAGATTCCGCGTGACATGCTTGTCCAGACAGGCACTCCGTGCTGGGGTAGCCACACCTTGCCACACCTAGCCAAGCGAGCAGCCGTGCTCAGGTATGGACGCCTGTTACTGAACATTACACGGGAGATCCGACTCCTCAAGACAAGACCCGCGGTGAGTCGGGAGCGGCTCGCCGCAAGCAAAGACAGACGTTATTTATTGTGAGGCTAGAGAGAGTAGGAATCGGAAAAGCATTTGCATTCGCTATTTAATGATTGTACGGTAGACCCGCGAGAGCGGTCTACCTGAAATATGCAATGGGATACTGCGAGCAGGATCTAGCTTCCTCAGAGGGCAGCCTGAGCTACACGTCCTGAGTACTAGTCTTCAGCACCACGGAGAGGTACCTGCTCATCGCTGAAGGAGGGCGACA